GGAAATGTGAGGCGGGGAGGAGGTGCGGCGTGTGGAGCGTGGATGCGGGCGCGTCTGGCAGTGGCGAGCGTGAGGTGGGGAGGAGGTGCGGCGCACAGCGTGTGGAGCTGTGAACAGGGCCAACTGATCGGAAGCCGATTAATCGATTATTGAAAAAGTTGACAACTTTTTCAATAATCGATTATGTCGATTAGTTGTTGCAGCCCTAAACCTCCATAGCATAAATAGGCCCTCTGGCTTTTTTTATCCCTCTTACATTCACCTGGCGATACTGGCAGTAACCTACTTGCAGTCCTATGCACAAGCAGTGTTGTCACCCTAGGCTACACCTTTTCTCCATCATAACGTAAGCGGGAAGTGTTCTGTAGTCCAAAGGTGAATTAGGCAGGGCTGATAACACTGCTTGGGATTTCAGTGCAGCAGAGTGCCAAGGAAGTTAGGAGCTCACTGGATTTCTGGCAGATACATATTTTTCTGTACTTGCAGTATTTAACCCTTTGGCTGCCAGCGACACAGGACATATTTCCCTGACAGCGGGCCTCTGTAAACAGACTCCTGGCAGCTATAGCAGCAGGGACCGGTTTACCTGGTTGAAGCCAACTGACAGCTTTAAACTGGAAGGGATTCTGGTGGCTAAAACGCTGCCAGTAAACAGAACCCCCCTTGCCTTGCTTCCCAGGCTCTGCTGCCCCAGCATCATCAGGTGGCAGGGCGAATGACCAGCAACGTCCGTTCTCTAATCTCCTCCTTGCTGAATGAAGCCGGGAGAAACGCTGATTGCATCACTTCCAGCTTCTGAGCTGTCATTCCCCGGCTAGTGCAGCCAGGGATGAAGCTGACCAAAATAATTACAACTGCACCTCCATCATGTTCGCCATCGCCACGTGTGCCAGAGGGAGAGCAATAATTCTCGGGCCAATATTCAGTTACTCGAAATTGAGTAGCACTAAAATTTATGTATTGTTGCTGAGATTTTGGGTTTGATAAAGAGTTGTGCTAAAATCATGCAACATAAAAATTTGCAACTGCCATCATTTTATTCTACAGGGTCTGTGCTTTTAGGAAATATATCATTCTGGGGGGGAGGGGGGTTAAGTAATTCTTATGTGTGCACAAACGGCTCTGGCAGCGAAAGGGTTAAAAGGTAACATATGTAAATGTGCATTTATTAGAGAGACATACTGAATGTTTCTTTGCCCAGACATACACTTTAAAGGGCACCTCTCCTGAGGGAAATATGGGCCGGCCATTGCTCAACTCTTGTAAAATCAGAAGTACTCATCTGCATAGTTGTTCCCAGTCTGTGAATCACAGTTTCTGAAAAGCATGAAAGCCAGGCAACTAGCATTTCCAGGAGAGGTGCCCACTAGGGGAGCAACAACATTGTGGCCCACCAGTCAACGTGGGCGCTGGATTCTGTTCACACGGCATCTGTGAGAATGTCACCTTAACCCTACCTACCTTCTAACAAATCGCATTACATCCTGACCTGACTTCAAACTGAACCCTTAACACTTAAGGGTCTGATCTTTATTGAAGGGTCACAAGCGACATTTCATTAAGTTCTATCGGCCACAGCGCAGCCAATAGAATGCGGCAACAAAGCCAAGTTAAAAACAAGGCAAATTGCCTTGTCTGTGTGTTGGGCCAACACTGGAAAAAGGCGGCTGGTGTGAACAGGCCCTAAAGGAAACCTGTCATGAGAGAACTATAGAGGCTGCAGTTGCCGATTCCTCCACATAGAAATGCTTTAACCCCTTCATGACTGAGGCCCTTTTTTCATTTTTTGCACCCATGTTATATTCCACATTTTAGGCCTGAAAATGACGTAAAACCCCCCAACATTATATATTTTCTGAATGCCAAGACCCTATAGAATAAAATGGTGGTAGTTGAAAATTTTTATGTTGCGCAATATTAGCGCAACTCCATAGAGTTGAGAAACTCTGCTCTGCTGTATTTTCGGGTAGAGAGAAATGTACTCAGGGGGACGAAGCTCGTGTCCTGCCCCACTGCACCAAAAATGACAATCACTTTTGCCAAGCTACTGAATCCCAACGGTGTTCTATCAAAGTTTGTGACTGCCTTAGAATGTGTGACTGGTCACACATTTTAACGTCATCACGCCCACGTTTTCGGCGGTGGAATATGTGACCGGCAAAAGGTGAAGAATTCCAGCGCTTTCTGAGCTGTTCCAGGGCAGTTCGGCTTTGCAGATGCTATGTGCAGGAGAACCGATCTGCCCTGGAACAGCTGATCGGTCCTGAAATGTCACTTCTATCCGACTTTGTGGAATGTGAGATCGCAGCCACAAAGTCGGATAGGAGTGACATTTGAGGACCGATCAGCCGTTCCAGGGCAGATTGGTTTTCCTGCACATGCGATGTCGATCTGCGCTGGAATTCTTCACCTTTTGCCAATGGCATATTCCACCGCCGAAAAAGTGAGCGCGATTGCGTTAAAATGTGTGACTACGTCACCGGTCACACCACACATTCTAACGCAGTCACAAACTTTGATAGAACACCCCGTAATGTACAGCTTCAGCCTGCTGTATCCCAAAATGTTATGTACACTGACCAGTAATATGTGCAAAGGAAGGAGGATGCTACCTGTGCCGACTGCAATGCTCACACTGGTCTTCAGCATGGGCTCAGAACTCTCAGTCTCCGTGGCTACAGATTCTGCTGCTTTTTCTGCGCGGGAAGGTTTGAATTCACCCTGAGACGCCTGGGCTTCAAGCAAACGCTGGATCTGTAAAAAAAAAAAATTCTTTGCAATTAATCTTATATACACACAAACATGTATACAATTCCTTTTTTGCATGAAAGAGTTAAAAAGAAATGTATGCTTTACTGCTGACCTAAAAATAACAGTTGCCTGGCCCCAATACTTATTCTAGGCTAGTGACTCAAAGTACTGAAACCAGTGTATAAGCAGAACACACATAAGCATTTTCAAAAAGGAGATTTCAGCAATGGCAGCCACCATATTTTCCCAATACAGATTTCCCTTACACAGCCTCTCCAGTTAAAAAGGAGTGCACTTCGGAGGGTTGCCAGCTCAAGGTCATTAAAAGGAGAACTATGGGGTTAGGGATTTTCCCCATAGTTCTCCTAAGGGTAACGGGAGGACACAAACTAGTGTCCTCCCGTCACCCTAAGCTCAGTATATAGGGAGCTATAGCTCGCAGTATACTGAGACTCCGCAGCCGGAGGGGATCCCGACAATTATGTCTGGATCCGCCCAGCTGCGTGAGTGACAGCTGGCTCTGCCTTTCTAGAGGCAGAGCCAGCTGTACCCGCCCCCTCCCCTGTCCGTTCCGCCAGTAAGCGCTGATGGATCGGAGCAGGGAATCCAGTCCCTCCCATGTCACGGCAGAGAGCCGTGACAGGATCGAGGAGTGAACGCCGGTATGTGTTCGCTCACCTCCCGATCTACTGAGCCGACATGCGACAGTTTCATTGTCACAGGTCGGCTAGAACTATGAGGTGAGTGAAAAGCACTCACCTCATAGTTCTCCTTTAACTTCTAGGAGGAATATGAGAGGTGTGAAGTCTCTGAAATGAGCCATGCTGAGAAAGAAGACCGATCATTTCTTTATGGAGTTGCCACTGTTGAGCTATTTAAGCCGGGATTCTTGTGAAGAAAATAATCTCACCAACCTGAGCTTGCAGAAGTTTCAGCTGCTTGTCTTGTTCTGTTAATAACTGGTAGGCCTCTGTGGACAGTCCCCACATGCCACTGGGTCCAGGAATTGAAGGAGGTGTCATGACCATGCATGGGTTAGAGCTGCACGAGTTTACCGGCAAAGAGTCCCTTCTGCCAGGAGAGTTGGCACCATCTACAGGAGTGGCACACCTTGCCGTTCTGCCACAGTTCATTAACACGGGGCTGCAACAAGCATTCGGACACGGCATATTCTGATAAAACGGCATTACATTTCCAAGAGGTTCCGATTGGCTCTCCGGGCTCCTGTGGCTGATATGACTCACAGCTGGCCAGGAGGTAGGAGAGTGGCACTGAACAGGACCAATACCAACACAACAGCTGCAGATATTGGTCTGATGGCGGCAAGTACTAAAATTCTGCGTTGGTTTTTGGCCATCAGAAAGTGGCCTTGTCTGAAGGGGAAAGGTCGCATTGTGGTTGGGAGACAAGGATGACTGTCTAGAATAAGGCGAAGAGGTCAGTGGTGGTGGCTCTGGACAAGGTCCGCTCACGCTACATCTTAGGTCAAGTTCAGATGAGCCTTTGACCTGATGTACAGATGTGTCCGGTGATGAGCCAGTTCGAGGTGTGGAATGTGAGGAGGATGAAGTGGAGGATGATGTGGAGCTTCTTCTCGGCTGGCCATTGCTGTGGTAATGTGCTTTGTCCCCTGCAGAAGACTTCCCCCTGGACAGCTTTGTGGCTGTAGGTGTGCAAGTTTTGAAAGGAACAGGTAAAGGTTTTGGCATAGATTCCTTCCCATATGAATCGTGATGGGGATATGAACTGGTCATAAACTGATTGTTTACAACCTTTGGTGTCGAGGACAACGAAGGAGCCTTTTTATTGTTGATCTGTAAATTTTGTACTGCAGGTTTTGGTTCTACAACACTTCCAAACACCAAAGAGAGTTCAGGGACAGATGGGTGGATTTTAGTCACCTGTATTGAAAACAAAAAAATATATAAAGATTTTTGAATATTATGAGCAGCCTAAAAAAAACTTAAGAAAACTAAAATACAAAATGGTTTATGTGACAATTTAATAGTAGAAGTCACAGAAAAATAGGTATGGTTCAGACCTATAACTACAGAAGCTGCTTCAAATAAAAGCTGGCATAGTAAAGACAGATATTTATATGCAGACTATTTCTGACTTAGTAACTTTGAAGGAAAATAGATCTCAAGTTTACTACCTTCTGCCAAAAACATGGCCACCTTTAATTCATAGATTACCCTTTGCTTTCAATGTCATTCCAAAAGACTTCAATGAACAGTGTCCTCTGGTGGTCAGGGAAATCGTGGCAAGCTTACAGAAAAGGTGAAAACACCAAAACCATATACAAAAACGCTATAAAACTGCCCATATACCTTTATTATTATTGTTCAATTTATTTCATGCCCTCATCGAACAGTCGTTCAATTTCCGCTCGAAAACCCCATCATGCGCAGACCAATGTGGATTTCGATTATCGTTCGTTAGCAATACTAACTGAACGAATTTTGTCCATTGACAGAATGCATTTTCGTTTGCGCATGTGCAGTGTTCATGTTCAGATTTTCCATACGAAAACGCCACTAATCCATCGATTTTTGTACCATTCAAAAAAAGTAGGGCTGGTAATGATTAAAATTTTTGTGTTCGATTAATCGAAATTTTTTTTAATCGATTAATTTTGATTATAATGCACATACAGATCCAACTACATTGGCCTATACACATACAGCACAGCAATGAAGTAATAAAATTAACTAGGATCACACTAATCCAGCAGGTTATTAATCTCACGTGGGGCAACTCAGAATAATAAAGTGCTGGATTAGTGTGATCCTAGTTCATTGTATGACTTCATTGCTGCGCTGTATGTGTATAGGCCAATGACTTGGCTGGCGCTCGTGCAGAGAGTTTAAAAAAAAAAAAAATCAAAAAGATGAACGATTAATCGAGAAATTAATCGTTAATTTGCACAGCCCTAAAAAAAAGTTTTCCAGCCTGACCGATCAAGGAAATTCGGACAATTTTGATTGTTCACTTCCCATCAACTGGCCAATTATCCTACGAGAACCTGATTGTGTTCTATTTCTGAACGATAATTGCAAGGTGTATGGGCACCTTAAAAAGGAGAACTATGAGGTGAGTGATTTCCACTCATCCTCATAGTTAGAGCCGACCTGTGACACAGAAGCTGTCACAGGTCGGCATTATCGATCGGGAAGAGAGCAGAGACATGCACCGATCTGCTCACTTCCCGAACGTCTCCCTGCAGTGAGCGGTGACTGTCAGTCATTGCTCCCTGCAGGGATTCCCCCCTCCCCGATACTGCAGCGCTGAGTTGAGGAACAAATGGGGGAGGGGACGGCTACAGCTGGCTCTGCCTCTAGATAGGCAGAGCCCGCTGTCACTCGCGCAGCTGGGTGGATCTCGACAGTAATGTCGGGATCCACCCAGCACAGCTTTTGTCGGGATTTGCGACACTGCACAGCTTTTGCCATCATCCCCACTGGGTCCTCTTGACTGCACGCATGCCACAGTCCCATACTTCACTATGGATGAGCTGTACTTGGCTGGGCTGCTGGGTTGTTTCCATTTTTAATACAAAAGAGGATGTTTTTCCTTTTTGAAGCTGTCCTGGGGTAATCTGATGAGGTTCATTCAGTTGCAGCTAGTTCTTACCAGAGTTTCTGTATGAAAGCCAAGAAGGCAAAGTCTCTTGATTTTGGCACATGGTCTCTGCCATCTGTCTAGTAATCTGGTTTTAAATTTCTTTATTCTCCTTCCATAGTTTACGTTTATAACCTACCTGTTGGAATGAAGGATGAGGGTGAGGCGAAGGCCTAGGAGAGAAATCCTCATCTTCTACTCCAGAATCGTGGTCACTTACTGATAACTTAGTGGGAGATGCATGGTGTTTTCTGGAAAAGAAAAGTACCCACATAAGTGTTTGAAATACACAAAAACAGGAGCAGCCACAAAATACATTGTGAGCATCATGGTAAGTAGTAATAGAAGGCATTGTTTGGAGTTATATCATCTGGGCAGCCATGTTGTTTAAGTATATACTGAAGAAAACTTACCCAGCATTCGAAACAGTCTTGGAAACTTCACTAAGCAGATATGCTTCAGAATTCTGACTCTCAGTGGTAAGCTCAAACAACAAGGATGACTGTTTGGAGGATTCCACGTTCTGAAATAAATACACGCTTCAGAAATACTGCACTGTTACACACGTATGATTACAGGAAGGAAGGACGCAGAAGTAAAAACTCACTTTGAATAGATGGATAGAATCTTCACAGGCCAGCAACTGGTAGCCAAGCGGATCATGGCCAATACCTTGAATACACTCGTAGAACTCAGGCTCCTTGTGGGTCAGTGAGTAGAGAACAATGAGGAAGCTGCCAGACTCTGAAAGCACCCTGGAAAGACACCGGTAGTCACAAGCTGTTATTTTTCCATGTGATAGTTTTTCCATCCAAGGTACAACTAAAGCAGCAAGTGAAGTCCCTCCCGAGAACCCCCTACATCGTTACTGTGTCCTGCAGTGACTAAAGGGTTATTAAACCCTTGCAATGTTTTTGCATATATCTACTGCTAGCAAGCAGTAGATATATGCAAAACAATAAAAAACAAAAACCTTTTTTGAAAGGGTTAATACTTACCTGTGTCTCCACTGCGCACTCCTGTCCAAACATCTGAAAATTTCTCAGGCGGCCACAAATGATCTTGGGGCGGGCGCATGCGCAGTTCAGATTGACATAAACTTTATTTTTTTTTAAACTTTAGATTTTTATTAAATTATAAAATATCTGCAATACAACAATGTTGACTACATAAGAGAGAGAGAGAAGTCAGCGCTGGATCGGAAACCCGCACCAGCGCTGGAGGGACAGCTAAAAACTACAGGACAGAAGATCGCAATAAGAGGCATAATTTAAAGGTAAGTCCTTACATTAGCACTGTGGGGAAGGGGGGGGGGGAGACTTTTGCCCTTAATGTCACTTTAAGGGTCAGTGGGAGAAACAGCAGCCAGTGGGGGACATGCTACTTGGTCAGCTAGTATTGGGGCATAGAGCATTGCAAGAGAGCAACGTTCAGCAGAGGTAGGTTGCGGTCATTGTTCGGACAAGAATTTTCCACTAGGCTTTAGGTGCCCATACTATGTAGATGCCAGTACACAATGGCAAAGAGATCTACCAAAGCAAACTACCACTTGCTTTTTAAAATTCATTTAAGTCATCCTCTGTTAGTGGGGTGCCTTAACCTGGCACATGAAAAAACTAGAAAAAGGAGGATTAAAAAAAACAAAAAAAACTTTTCTATACTGAAAAGGGGAACTAAAGTCAGGAAACAGATTCCTAGGAAGTAGCGAATGTAGCTGGGTGGCCGGACATGGGGACTCCAGCACACAGGAGTTACATTAACAGCGGCAGCTCAATAGCGTAAGGCCTGGTTCACGCTGAGCGTTTTGTAGCGCTTTCTCTACCCTAAAAAAAAAAAAAAATATATAATATATATATATAACACACACACACACACACACACACACACACACATTAAATGTATGAATATCAAGTCCAAAAAGAAAAGGACCCAAAATTCCAACTGGTTAGGTAGTATTTGGCATCCAGGAAGATTCTTTGTGCAAGAAATAACATCCGACTGTCATTTGTTATGTGCGGACACCTTAAACCCGGAAACACACAAAGAAGCCACTAAGTGACACTTACCTTTCCTTAATTGATGAGCTGAACAGGTAGCGCAGACAGCTGGCCCAAACCTGTGGACTGTGAATGTGTGTGATCCCACTCAGCCAGCTGATTAGAACAAACACAGAAAAGGATCAGTAACCCAGAATATAAAATATAGAAAACTGTCAAATTATTCATTAAATTAAACTGCTTATACAAGAATCTTAACTTACATCCCGACAAGTGGAAGAGTATAAGCCTTTGGATCAGACTCTAGGACAAGAAGCAAAATAATTCCAGAACAACATTTTGCTGCAAAATATTTCAATGGAAGCAATGTGGCTTATACAAATAAACCTGCATATATAATTTTAGGACTAAACAGGTTAATGACATTTTAGCAATGTTAAAAATAAACAACCCCCCTGTTTAAACCTAAACTAGTGCTGTGCACGTACAGTGACTAAATACATGTCCCTTTAAGTTTGTTTGCTGTGGCACTTTGCTGCAGATGCATTCAATTTAGAATTCATCGAGTGTTTGGTAAATAGAAACAGACGCTTTAAAAACACTTTACCGCCGCAGTGCAAAGGACAAGCATTTGTAGAAAGACACTAGTATTATTTGGATTTTTTATTAAAGAACACTCAGAATAAAGAAGCTTACCCGCATTTGTGTGTTCCTTGAAGCTGTGCAATATTATTGTGACTGCTCAGGTTCCTGGCTAGGGCGGTGGGTATAATTGGGACAGGCTTTATGGGAGTACTTTCAAATGAATTTGCTACCGTGACAGCCGCCCAGCGAAGATCAAAGTGAAGATTGTCCATGTTCTCCGAGTAAGTGATATGAGCTCTCACGGTGAGCAATTTTGAAAGATCCAAGGCTTCTTTGCAGTGGAGATGGCTCTGCAGACCCTTAAAACAAAAAAAATACAAGAAATGATTTTTCATCTGCAAAACAATACAATTAAAGTCTGACGGCAGTCATTTCCAGCTCCTTCCTCCTACTTGACATTCAGAAAAGACTAGATCTGCTTTGTACATGGAATGTAGAGACACAAGAAGAGACGGGGGAGAAGATGCCACTCAAGAAGACAAACAGAAAATCACCATAATAACAGTATAATATATTCACAAGCCATGTATTGTTCCATAGGGTACACACAATGATTTTTCCCTTACTGAGCAGTGCTGAGGAAATATTATTCAAGATGCAGATATAGATAATATATATATATATATTAGGGCTGGTAATGATTACAATTTTCATGTTCAATGAATCGAAATTTTTTAAAATCGATTATCGTCTCTGCAGCGGAGACCGCTTTTCATTGGACAACTGAAAACAAGCTGTTACATATGAACAGAAAATGCCTGTTAAACGCACATAAAAAACACACAAAAAAAAGTGCTGAAACGCGGTCGCCCTGGTGTGAATGGGGTCCATCTCAGGCATGTTTCACTAATGTTTCCCAAGCAGCATACAGCCCCCTAAACCTTCTTTTTAGCCCTCGGACAGTTGAAGACTAAACATGCACATGCGTACAGGAGCACAGCTCTGAATACAGACAGTCTGCATTGATTTGTGCTCCTCTACTCATGCACGTTTACACAAGTCCAGCGTATACCCGCACACAGCCATTGGCCTCTGAGGGAGGATGTGCCCGGCACCTGTAGCTTCCTGGCAGAGAAAATACACGAGAATTTACAGGGGGGAATTTATCAAAACTGGAGAAAACAGAATCTGGAGCAGTTGGCTATGGCAACCAATCAGCATCTCTCTTCATTTTGCTCAGGTAAGATATGAAAATGAGACAGAGAAGCTGATTGGTTGCAGTGCAAATCTGCTCCAGATTTTTTTCTCCTCCAGTTTTGATAAATTCCCCCCATTGTTAGGCTGCAGGGCAAATGGAACCTCTTGTCTGAAAACTGTACTGGTATCATCAAAGGGACTTAGTCCCCAATTCACGATAAAGTCATCAGCAGACACAGAAAAGGCATCCCCGGCCTCCCTTTAGACAAGTACCCTCACTAGGCTATTGAATGACTGCACTGTAGAGCAAACCCGGGCATATCCTGGGGAGGAATATAAATTGCCAATTGCCAGGCAGTAAGAAGTTTTAATGGCAGAAAGATTACTACACAGTCTCTTATGCTATAAAAACCTACATGTCAGCATTTTTTTGCATAAGTACTTTACTTCCGTTTTAAATGTAACTTACTACTTGAAAGTAGTATTAAAATCTCAAACTTTTCAGTAATGAATCCAGATCAGACAATTCTACATTGCCCAGCAAAGTATTGCTTTACAATTTTGTTCAAACACCTTACAATCATCATGTTTCTGAACAGCTGCTTCCAACTCTCTCAGATTAGCTTCCCTGGACTTCCTGTCCAGTACACGATCTAAAAAGGGACAAAGCAGCCTCAGCAAATGTTTATCTACTAGCTTGAAGGGAAGGGAGTAGCTCGATTTGCTGTGTCTGTGGAGACCCACACAGTTTACTAGCACACAAGAAGCAGCGTCCATTGTAAGCGATTTCATCTGCATCTGAAATGGCTTAAAACTCTTTCGACTTTAATATCACTTTCAATAGTGCGTTTCCTTCCTTTGGTCAAATATATTCTTTGATGTATCATGCAAGGGAGATTTTGATTGGATAACACTTCAAAACAACCCTTTAGAACTTGTAGGCAAGCCAATTTATAATCAGACTAAGCAAATATTTTTTATGTTCAGCAGCAATAATGTTGTTGGCTGTATGTACACATGATATGCTGCAACCTTTCAGTGTCTGACCAGCCAATGTAAAATTCCAACAAAGCTCAGACCCTCTGATGTCTCACTAAACAGCCAATAAATAGTTATATCACAGTCTTGCTCAGATTAGACCCCTGCTGCCTCTTTGACCTGGTTGAAAACTACAATAAATGGTGGAGGAAGGAATATAACAGCAAACGAAGATGGCATTCAGTTACCAGGATGCATCTCTCAGGTAGATTTCATACACTATGCCTTAGAAGTGACTTGAATGAATTCATAGACTGTTTTTCTGTTCCAATAGTATATATTAGGGATGTTCAGATACCAAGTACCGTACTCGGGACTAGACTAGACTAGATAGAGATATA